AAAGGCAAAATGGAGATAATTTATTGGCACTTGACTGTGTGTGGGTTGGGGGGGGGGGGGGCTGTTAGCAAAATTTAACATGAATATTTGGAGGGGATTTTAATGAAATTCAAAAATTAATAATTGGCTTTATATCTACAGCTCAGAGACAAACCATTTCAAGATGACAACCACATCTAGTTATCCTCAGTACAAAACTGGTCGTAGTTAGATCACAGATGTCAGAACTAATTTTATTGTGGCAGCAGCTGAGAATCATTCACAACTCATACTTTTAGAACTACCATAAATCTGTGAGATCTCACAATATCACATTAGATCCTACAGAATGTCATTTACAAGGACTGACCAAACATAAAATGATTTGAGTCTAAAATTCTGGCATGAAAAGCAACTGGTAATGTTCAGTACATTGATTTGCTGGTGAAGATTCTCATTGATTGTTTAGTTTTTAATTTAGACTTTTATTGGAACTGCAATGAAATCTTCAGTGTTCACTTGAGATCATCCATCCATTGTCTTTACCCGCTGCATTGTTTCTGGATTAGGAGGGAGAAATATGTCACATAGATGTTCTCTGCCTTATAATGGAATCAACCTTCTATATAAATGTCATACTTCCACTGTTGTGCTTCATTGTCGTACCTGGAGTAACATGTGGTAATCAGTCAGTTGAGGAAATTTTGCCATGATGTGTGTGTTTATAATGTTTAGTTTTCTGTTTGATTTGTTTTGTTTATGATTATTTTTTGTACGTTCTATTGCTTCCCTTGCCTCCATGAGTTCCCAGCTATCTTGAACACCTTTCATTAGTCTGTTTCAACTCCTCAACTTCTGCTCTGCACTCACCTGTTCCCTGAAGTTATTTTTCCCAGGTGTCTCCTCTCCACTCATCAGCCCCTGTCTGTCAGTTCTTTGGCACTGTGCATGATTCATGTACCTCCTTGGTGCCTCCTCTAATCCTAATCTATTTCTCTATTGACTGTCTAACGAAACAATGTAGGTAACTGAAATATTTATCAAACTCCCAACAATTTTCAGTCAAGTCATCTGTCCAGAATTACCTGACTGAAAATTGTTGGATTGCATACCTGGATTATTGAGGATGGACATTTTTTTTGATTTATCAAATTCTTTTTTGTCTACAAACAACCTTTCCGTTTTGTGCAGAAAGTGCAAACTAAATTGTTTTCTGTCCCGAAGTGTGTCTTTGCAGGTATACGTTTACTAATCATGTTTTGCTAATTTAGTGGTTTTGGCTATATTTTCCATCTTGTTTTCTAGTGTATGTACACTTGGACCATTTTATATAATTTGATGAATATTTTCAATGTTAATGAAAAAAATAGGCCAACATGATCTTGTTTTTGCTTTTCTTTGTTTTGTAGGCTGAAGAGCTATCTGCAGAATTAAAGAAGTACACAAGCAATGTGACATACAGAGATGTAAATGAGAGAAGCTCGTACTGGCCACTGGTGAAGTGTGTGACTGTAAAAGTACCACAGAATCAACTTCTCCAGCATGTCACGCTGGTGGACATTCCTGGAAACGGTGATCGTAACAAGAGCAGAGACACAAAGTGGAAACAGGTCATTTAGACTTATACACTGTGGTTTTTACATGAAACAGTAACATTTAATTTATTTATATGAAGCAATGATGTTTAACTATCATAATATCTATGATGCAACTTTAGATTATTGGAGACTGTTCTACTGTGTGGATTGTGAGCGAAATGAACCGAGCAGTATCAGACAAAGAATCCTGGGAGATCCTGACAAATGCTCGTAGTCTCATTGGAAATGGTGGGGAGTGTCGTCAGATTCATTATATCTGTTCCAAATCTGAAGATGGTGAAAAATTTTCTGATTGGTAAGTGAATTAAGATGGTAAAAGTGCGCAGTCAAATTAAATATTCAAGTTACACACTGATAAATGAGCTTGTTAAAAGCATAATGAGAATTTACAGTACAGATTTTAATTCAGTACTTTGTAGTATGGTGAAACTATTGATGTGATGGGTCAAATTAATACAGAAACATTAATCGCTTAAGAGTTTGCAAGTGCACAAAAATCACACTTTCTTTCTTCTAGCTCAGAGGCGAATCTACAGACAATGTTAAACATAAATGAAAAAACAAAGGAACGCATGAAAAAAGATATCAAGAAACTTAAGAAAATGGTGAACTTTTAAACCTCACAGAATAAGAAACATACAATTTGGTTTCAACAGCAAAAAATTGAATTCCTTTTTCTTTTTTCTTTTTATTTTCTAGAAACACTTCAGTTTTGAAGTGTTCACAGTGAGCTCTAAATGGTTTCAAGACATGAAAGATGCAAATCACGAGGGAGCTGGTGAGTTAAGTCTCCATCATTTATCTCTGAAAAATTTTGTGATTAAAGAAAAACATTGCAGAACTGGAAAGAATTACCGTACGAAAAAACTGTACATATGGTTTAGATTTCACAGAAATACCCAAGCTTCAAGATTTTCTGCAAAATCTCAACGACAACCACTCAGAGACATTAAACTATGTGTCTGGTGCTTGTGGGATTCTGTCTTTGATTCAAGGGTCCAGTTTGAGAGACGTGGTAAGAACAAGATAAACTATTTTTGCAAAGTGCTTTAATAAAAAGGGTAAGGTCAGTCACATGGATGCTCACTACATCAAATGTCTATAAGTTTCTGTCATTACTAAATCTAACAAAGTTAAGTCAGGTTCTCTGGATGAATTAAAAATATATATATTTAAAAAAACTTGATGAAACATTTAGTCTTTAATCCAAAATACTTAGTCAAGTTTTTTTATTTATTTAATTTTTTTAATTCATCCAGAAGATATGATTTAGTATTGTTAGATTTTTCTACCTGAATGATTGAGCATGCATCAGGATGTCATTACCAAATATTTAAAATCCAGTCAGACATGTGATAAGCTATGTTGTGTTGTTTTTGTTTGTTTTAGGCTGACAAAAGTAAAGATGTGTGTGACGAGCTCGATAGAAACATGACAGATAAAGTTGTTTCAATCAAAAAAGCAATGAAGGCAGTCGAAGACGCTTTTGACAAACAGCTGAAAGAAGGGGTTGAAAAGTCCAAACGTTTGTGGGAAAAGAAGCTGAAGAACATCATCGATCCTGCGGTGTGTGTTCTGACAGTAAACATGAGGCAAATTTTAACTCCCTGTGCACCTAGGTTTGCAACGTTTGTCGTATTTATGTTTTTCTTAGAAAAAACGCCGCAGCGGATTTCACAAAGTACTTAAGTGTGTGGTTTTAAATCAAGGCATCTACAGAAGAAAAAAGCAGAAAGAAATCAACATCAACATGACATTATCTTCAGTCCTTACTGAATGCATCGATGAAGAATTCAGGAAAACTTTCCCGTAAGAACTTAAACACTTTTTTCTTGTTACAATTATTAACTTGTTTAAAGGGTAATTTACAAATGTCAAATTATTTAAATGTATTAAAATGTTTCAGAAACGAATCCAAATGTGGCCCATTCAACGGAGTCATCAACAAATTTTCACTTGGGACCGAAAAACTGAAAGAGAAGTACAAAGATGTGGAACTGCAGCTGATATTTCTCAAGACGGAGGTAAAAGAATGAGAACATTAAACAATATGATAAATAAATGCTTTCATTTGGATTAAAATGACATATTTTAAAATACTAAAATCCGCTTTGAAGTTGATCAGAACTCCTTATTACTAGATTTTGAGAAAACAGACAGGAATGCTTTCAGTGATTTCCCTATGAAAAAAGATGTGATTTATGAGGATGAACACATTTTTACTTTGTAATTTTTCTCTTAAGGAAGAAAAAATTAAGACGAGACTGACCAAAATAATTCGAGACCGCAAAAAGAAAATCTACCGCAATCTGACAGAAGCAATTGAGAAAGCCATGAAGGAGTGCTATGAGAGTAAGAAACACCAAAATGGAAAAAAGTCTGTCATTAAAAAAATTAAAATAATAAAAAAACTCCTCTCCTGTGTGTGTGTGCGTGTGCGTGCATGCGTGCGTGTCTGCCAATATCTGTTTTGCAGGAGCAGCAACATGTACTGGAAAGGGCATGCTAAAGAATATGACCGAAACAATCAAGAATCATATTAAAGCTGCAGAGGACACTTTGTTTGAGGAGGCTAAAAATGCGATGTTGGACGAGCTGCATAGCTTGACGGTTTGTTTGGGTTAATTTACACTAAAATTCCTGAAATTAAAACCGTCGCAACAATAGCAGTGTTGTTGTCTAGTCCAGTGGTTCTCAAACTGGGGTCCCCGGACCCCCCGTGGTCTGTGAGCCGATGCATGCGGGTCCGCAGAAAAAAACAACAAGTATGTATGTACATATGTACATATGTACATACATACTTGTT